TGCCCAGGTTACGGGCTTGATCCCCAGTGGGGTGTGCAGGAGGCAGCCAATCAATGATTCTCTCTTATCATTGATGTTTCTATCTCTTTCTCCCTCTCTCTGAATCAATTAAAAATTTTATTATAAATGTCAGGAAAATAAAATTTCTCAAAATATTTGGAAATAATCTAATTTAATAATGGCAAAACCCTGATTCACAGACTACCCAAGTATGCTGCATTAGATGGGTTTCATTATTTGACCTTACCTTCAATAAAAAACAAATATCCAGCATTATTTACTTAAACTAACAACAACAATCAAAAAAAGATAAAAACCCCAAGCTATTACTGCTACTACTCATTTGTTAGCAGAAACATAAACCCATGTGAAGGGAAAGAAGATTTAAGAAATAACAGTTGACCATATTAACAATATTATCTTGAACTTGACATGATAGCAATAACATATATGCCAACTCCATAATTTCTTCATTGTGATTCTTAACCTTCCAATATTAGAAACAATCAGGTCTGAAACTGAAGAGAACAGGATTCACAAACTCTGGAAGAGAGACTACAATCCACTTGCCAATTTCAATACGATGCCATACCTTCTAACATTCCAAAGCATTCTCTAGCGTACTTTGTGTGAGAGATGTCTAAAGTCATGTTACCATTCAATTCAACTGGATCTAAGACTTTAGACTCCACCCTATTCACTGACCCCTCTCCTTCCACCCAAAGGTGGGCTCTTCTTACTACAAATTCCTTATAGCTCTTTGTATTTGACTCTTATAGCCTCAACTTACAATGACATATAGTAAAATCATAACGCGTATAGTTGCCTTTTTTTCTAACAATGTAAACTTCTATAGGACTAAGATTCTTCCTGTGTCAGCCTAGAAGTATTTAAGAAGATGGTCAATAAATGAATGTTGACGCAATTCACCTTTAGAATCTGAGCCCCAATCTTTCCCTTCAAAGCTGCTTTCAAAAACACACTGCTGGGTCCTTGAAAAATTAAACATAAAATTGCCATATGATCCAGTAACTCCACTTCTGGGTATCTACCCCAAAGAATTCAAAGCAGATACTTGAATAGACATTTATACACTCATGTTCACAGCGGCATTATTCACAATAACCAAAAGGTGGAAACAACCCAAATGTTCATCCATACATGAATAAACAAAATGTGGTATATAGATACATACAATAGAATACTATTCACCATCAAAAAGGTAATTCTGGCTCTGGCCAATGTGACTCAGTCAGTTGAGCTTTGTCCTGTGCACCAAAAGATCGCTGTTTTGGGGTGAAAAAAGGGGACATATGTAATACTTCAACAATGAAGAATTATTTTTTAAAAATTTAAAAAGAAAAGAAAGGTCACTGGTTTGATTCCTGGTCAGGGCATATGCCCAGATTTTGGGTTGGGGTATGTATGGGAGGCAACCAGTCGATGTTTCTCACATTGATGTTTTTCTCTCTAAAAAAAAAAAATAATAAAATAAAAAATAAAATTTTTTAAAAAAAGGTATTTCTGACACATGCTACCGCATAGATAAACCTTGAAGACATTTTTCTAAGTGAAATAAGCCAGACACAACTGACAAATATTGTATAAGTCCACTTCTATGATGTACTTAAGAGTAGTCACATTCAGAGAGAAAGTACAACAGTGGTTGTCAGGGGGTGGGGGGAGATTTATGTTATTGTTTAATGGGCATAGAATTTGAGAAAATGAAAAAGTTCTGGAAATGGATGGTGGTGATGGTTAACAATGTGAATGTACTTACTGCTACTAAACTGTACACTTAAAAATGGTTAAGATGCCCTGGCCAGGGTGGCCCAGTTGGTTGGAACATCTTCCCTGTACACCAAAACGTCACGCACGGGTTTGATTCCCTGTCAGGGCGCATACCTAGGTTGTGGGCTTGGTCCCCAGTTGGGGCACATAAAGAAGGTAACCTATTAATGTTTCTCTCGCATCAATGTTTCTCTGCCCACTTCCCTCCTTCCCGTCCTCGCTCTAAAATTAATAAACATATCCAAGAAAAAAAAAATAAACATATCCTTGTGTGAGGATTAAAAAGAAAAAAAAAGCACACTGTTCCTTCTGTTTACTATCCTTAGACCAGAGGCAGCTGAAGTATAAAGAGCATGAACTCTGGAAACAGAATGCCTGGATCCAGATCCTGCCTTGACCACTTATTATATGTCTAACCTCACTGTGTTACTCATCTTTACAACATGGATTCCATAGTACTCACTATATAGGGTTACCATGAAGATTAAATGGGTTAATAAATGTATAGTGCCTAACTCAGTGTCTGGGACATAGTAAGGGCTTCATAAATGTTGAATTCTTATTATTATTCAAGGAGGCAGATGTGCAGTTAGAAAAAGCATGTAACTGTCATTTTTGCAAGAACTACAGAAAGTAACTTAAACTCTTGGTTGGGGAATTAATGAAACCTTTTACGGCACTGCACTAAATTACTGAATGCTGTGAACATCTTTCAATTCCAACTAAAATTCACAGCCATTAACATCAGCTTTGCACAGTTCTCCAGTATCCTGTCTGCTTGCACTGAAGATGTAAACAGGACTATGCTTTGCCAGGAATTTTATCAAATTACTATACACCTCCTTCCTTAAAAAAAAAAAAATCTTTAAGTACAAATCTTATCTTCTTAATTACAAAATGCCAATCTATCTAAGATTTTTAATTCTGACAAACTACATAATATATAATAGTGACTTTTGGATACGTAAGAAACATTTATGAAAACTTTCCTAGGACACTACATCCAAGTTCTTACTTACCTTTTTTGTTGTTGTTAATTCTCACCCGAGGATATTTTTCCATTGACTTTTAGAGAGAGTGGAAAGGAGAGGGAGAGGGAGAGAGAAACATTGATGTGAGACAGACACATCGATTGGTTGCCTCCGGCACACCCCCTGACCAGGGCCAGGGAACCTGCCCTTGACCAGAATTGAACCTGGGACCCTTCAGTCCAAGTGCTGACTCTCTATCCATTGAACCAAACCAGTGAAGGCTCTTATTTGAATTCTTAATGCCTATGTGGGGATTTGTGACCTTGCCACACCAATAAACAACATTCTCTAAAGGCAAGAATTAGGTCTTCCATTTCCCAGCACACAGCATTGCAAATAGTGGGAACAACCATGTGTTGACCAATCCTGAGTAGTAAATTCTCCACTACTTCACTATCTTGTCAGTTTATAGTATCAGAAAAAACACCCAGGTTTTCATCTCCAAACCAATTATATTATGGCCACCATTAAATCAAACTAAAAAGCTACTGTTGCCACTCCTATTTCGTTAGCTGAGAAGGTGGGGCTTACTCTCTCCACACGTGTCTAGCCCAGGGCACCAAGCTCTCAGTCCTAACTGAGCAAAGCACAAATCCAGAATTTAACTTCAGTTCAGACAATTAGCCAGAGGGCTTGCTCAGATGTTAGTAAATTTAAAAAAAACACACCAAAACCCACATTCATTCAATGTTTATTTTCTCATGAAAATTATCAAAAACGCTTAACTTCTCATAAGAAAAGAGAATGCATCATGTCAGAGCAAAATCTCAACTGAAATGGTTTATTAAACCTGAAGTGTCCTAAGGCAAATCCCCAACTCACATTGTAGGGGCAATGCTACATGTCACAAACAACTCTGCACTAGTCCTCGACTTCACCCTTCTTTCTGTAATAAAACGGGGCATGAACATATATTTTATAAACTACAAACAAAAATTGGTCTAGATGTTCTAACATAAAACCAAACTTTTCAAGAACACCTATTGTTACTTAAATTGCAACTCATTTCTTTGTAAAATTAAGCAGAAGAACCACCTGTACAAAGAATGCATTAACAAATTTAAGGGTTGAAGAAACCAAAGTATTATATGCAAAATATGAGTTTTTAAATAAACCACCATCTTTTATAAACAGATCATTTTAATATCAAATGTAAATCTAACCCTTCCTTTTCGAAATCTGAGCCTTATGAAGAGCAGGAGCTTCCACAGCCTTTTCATGGCTGTGTTTGAAGTCCTAAGGCACCGAAACAGTGGCTAAGTCTAACTAACTATACCCATCACCCCATTGGCTCAAAGGAAAGCCGGCCCCGTATAACCACGGTAACTGAACATCAAGGGAACTACAGAAAAAGGCTGTCCCCGGCTACATTTCTAGTGTCTGACAATTCTCTCTGTCCTTCCCCCAACTATGATCACAGCACGAGCAGAGTTCGACCGCAGACTTCAACCAAAAAACCTCATCCTCCAAAGTACAACCAAGAGGAGAGTGGTGACGACCACGCTCCCATTCTCCAAGATGTGCGGTGCCATCCTCATTGCAAGGACCAAGACAGAGACAACAGCTCCAGCACGGGACCCTCGTGCCCCATGCAACAGGCACCGCAGAACACTAGAACAGTTCATGACACCGCCACCGCTCGGGTCGGAGAGGAAGGGGCGGCGCGACTCCAGACAGCGGGATCCTCCGAGCCCGGCTTCGCGTGCCCAGGAGG